TTTCTTTCTCTGTGCTGTGTAGAGGCTAATTCTCAGCAAAGGTGAAAAATAGTACATGAAGTTAGTGTTCTTTTTTGTTGTTATTTTTTAAGAAGGAAAAAAAAAAGGTTTCTTATAAGCTTTAAGTTTATTTCTGCTGTCTGTTCCGAGATCCATTCTCCAAACATATATTGGCAGGGGGAGCGGTAGAGAGTGTGGAGGGAGACGGAATTTATTCTGACTGTAACGGTCGCAGTGGGCCTCTCACAAACATAATGCTAAATTATGGGCCTCTCTATGGGCTGAGCGTAATGCTAAGTTGTGTATGATGGATTTTATCTTACACAAGCCGCTTCGGTCCATGAAATGAGATAAGAAACCACTGCAGCCAGAGTTCACTGAGGGTTGAACTTAGACTGGAATTCCAGAGTTAACACAATTGCATGAGCCAGCAGTACTACTAAGTGTGCTGTGTGCCTGTGGGTTGAGATTTTCAAGGAAACTTGAGTCTTTCACTTATAGTATATTCTGTGAACATCCCCAGGCAGTTATCTCCTCTGATTCAAGTGTGAGGGCCCAGGAGTCCATTTGCTCAAAAAAGAAAAAGGCTTTGATCCCTAGGCCCAGAGGGCAGCTGCCGAACAAGAGAGGGCCTGGAATTGTGTCTGGTCAGCAGCAGAAGTGACGCTGCATCTGGAGAAGGCAGAGCTCACCATGCATGGCCTTGAGTTGGGCTGAGTCCTGCCTTCACGCAGTGCTTGGGCACACTGGGCTATATACCCTAGTTTGGGCAAATGTCTTTAGGAATTTAGTAAGGTATTTGTACAGCATCCCACAAAACTGGCAAAGGGCTGTAACAAATGGAATACACATAACAATATAATAGTTGATTTTTAAAAATCTGTTAAGTAAAAACTGAATCCCTTCATCAAACAAGAATCTCCTCTGTCCGTAGGTGTGCACAGCACAGGAGGATTCTCCTAGTCCACCGGGGAGCAGGCAGTACCTGGCATGGAGTAGCACTCAGTGTTTGTCAAATGAATGAATAAGAATCTGAGTCTTGCAGTCTAGTTGGTCCTGATTTTTAGAATTCAGGGTCTGTCTTCACTTGAATACATGTAGGGTAGTTTTCCTAAGTCATGTTTTGTAAGGGGCAGAAAGGCTTCTGCCCTCAAGTCTGCCTAAAAATATGCAGCGAGCCTTCAGCAGTCATCAGATCGATTAATGTAATAACCAACGTCCAACTTGCAGTTCTCATTAACTTAATCACCTTCACACTTGCTGTTTCTCCACCTCCGAGCCATACAACACCGGTCTGTTCCAGCAACACTCCCAAAAAGGCAAGTCTCTTGTTTTCTTTGAAATAAACTTTATCACTTATTTACAGCAGAACCTCATTTCCCACTTTCTATCCTCCTGCCCTGGCCTCACACCAGGTTCAAAGAGACTTTGTAGTAGCCATCCAAGAAAACACCAACCACCTCGGGGAGCATGTTCTCTACAAAAAAAAAAAAAAAAAAGGAAATACTCTATTTTTCAGCCTATTTAAATATTTTTATACTAACCTTAAAATTAAATTAGTTTTGAACTGCAGAACAGAAATGACTTATTCCCACTACTGCCTTGGAAACAATATCTTGCTTTATGACTAGTTTTTAAAATAATGTGCCATCTGTATTTTGACGCTAACTCGGCTGATTTCATAAGTCAAAAAACTGGTATCTTCAGGAAATATTTCTGATAAGAGAATAAAGAAGTGAAGCTGAGGACAAATAGGTTAATAACAGTTTTTCAAGCCAGTTTTAACAAAGAGTAATCAAGATTTGGTGTTAAGAATGGAGAACAACATATTGCTTACAATGCCCAGAGTAAATGTCCTATGATTGAGTCCTTGGAGTTGGTAGGTGAGAGTGGGAGTCTCAGGGATGGTTTCATGGTGCCATGAGTTGATGAAAAAGAGGCGTTAAGAAAAGCAGTCAGTCACAGGAAGGCTCACTTTGTCCAGTTCTGGGAATTTATCCATCAGAATGGACTGTGTGTGTTGTTCTGTTTTGTTCTTTCAGTACTGGGGACAGAGTCCAGGGATCCTCTATCATTAAGCCATATGACAAGCCCTTTTTTTAAAATTTTGAGACAGGGCCTTACTACATTGCCCAGGTTGGCCTCAAATTTAGGATCCTCCTGCCTCAGCCTCCTGAGTTACTGGGATTACAGGTGTGCCCATCGCATCCCTCACAAATTGCTTTTTGAGTGGAACCAGAAGAAAGCTTTTTTTTTTTCTCACCTTGGCATGATTTGTACTTGGTGGTTTTCCATTTCCAGATGATAGCAAGTTCTCCGAGGCTATCACAGTACTGCTTTCCTGGATTGAAAGGGGGGAAGTGAATCGGCGTTCTGCAAACCAGTTCTATTCCATGGTGCAGTCGGCCAACAGCCACGTCCGCAGGCTAATGAATGAAAAAGCCACCCATGAGCAAGAGATGGAGGAGGCCAAGGAGAATTTTAAAAATGCCTTAACTGGGATCCTCACTCAATGTAAGTAAAATTTTGGGGGCCACCTCTTTCATTGTGATTTTGCCTTTTCTTTTGTATTCATTTTATGTTCTCATTTGGGGGTAAGTAGTTCAATAATCTCCCATTTTACTCCATATTGAATGAGAAACCTCATAACCTATTTCATGTTCTGTGGCATCTTGGAGGAACACGGACCCTGCCCTGAGAGCTTACTTATCAAGGTGAGCAAAGTTTCTGTAGCTTTTCCTCGGAGCACCAGGCCTGGACCCCAGGGCAGGGCTGCCACACATACCTGTGTTTGTTGGACCCACCACAGGTCACACCACCCCTGAGTGTGCCACCCTCTACCTGCAGGCTGTCCACACATTCAAGTGTCCTCCTAGGGCTGTCAGTAGAAAGCAGACCCTGAACACATTGTCTTGGGGCTCTGCTTAGAAAGACAGTCCCAGCAGATAAACTCCTCAGGATCCTTTATTTGAGGTGAGCTTTGGCTGTCTGCATGGGTAACTCAGGAGTGGAGATTTTTTTTTTTTTTGTCCTTTCTTCATTTGGAAAGCAAATTGCTTAACTACTTAATGTCGGTGATTTTTCATGTCTAGATGCTAAATTGATGAAGGGGTATAAATGGGGCTTTCTCCTAGAACAATAGTCAAGGTAATTACCCAGGGCTCTATTCAAAAAAACGGGTGTCTACTTTTTCTGTGGGCACTCTATCTGTGTCTGTAGTTAACTTCACAGCAGCATAATGCATCACAGCTGCCCATGTGCTCTCGCTTGGTAAAAAGCCATTGAATGACACTGTAACAATGCAGTGCTCCATTCCACGCCAGGTGCAGGGGCCCCCATGCAACAGCGAATTACATTATTTATTCTGAGGATAAGTATTATTTGCAGTGATATAATGTGCCAAAATGCCTATCACCTCTTCCATCAGTATAAACCCAAGAGATAATGTGTCTGTTAGGATGGGTAATAAGAGGGGTAGGAAAAACCAGGATCTTAAATGTAAAAGTAGACTCTGTTGTCAAAAGACAGTTTTTGCAGCAGCATAGGGTGTAATGTCATGAAGTCTCCAACATAAACTCTGGTAAGTGACCAAATATTCAATATGAGAATTACCTGTGTTTAAAAGAAAAAAAAGAAATAAGAAAAATAGGACTGCCCTGTCTCAGACTGGTATAATACCACTTTACCTACACTCGCCAGCCCTGAAGATTGACCCTTTATCCAAAGGCATATGTCCAGCAGTTTTGAAGTTAGGGATACTAGAGAGAGAATAAAGAAAACTGGTATTGTCTTCTGCTTTTAAAGGAGGGAAAAAAGAATGAATTAGTGGCCAGAGGGAAAGTAAAGATGGCCTAGTAGGAGAGAAATGAAGAGAGGACAAAGCAAAACAATTCCAATACACAACTCCTGCAGAGTCAGGGCAGGAAACCACATACCTGAGCAGTGATTACTGTGTTGTTACCTTTTGGTCACTCACATCAATTTTTTAAATTGATTTTTTTAAATAAATGAGAACAGAATGTATTACAATTCTTATTACACATATAGAGCACAATTTTTCATATCTCTGGTTGTACACCAATTCATGTCTTTATACATGTACTTTGCATAATGATGTCCATCACATTCCACCATAATTGCTAACCCCCTGCCCTGTCCTTCCCCTCCCACCCCTCTGCCCTATATAGAATTCATCTATTCCTCCCATGCGCCCCCTCCCTACCCCACTATGAGTCAGTCACCTTATATCAGAGAAAACATTCGGCAATTGTTTTTTTGGGATTGGCTAACTTCACTTAGCATTATCTTTAACTCCATCCATTTACAGGTATGATTTTATTCTCTTTTATTGCTGAGTAATATTCCATTGTGTATATATGCCACATTTTTTAATCCATTCATCTACTGAAGGGCATCTAAGTTGGTTTCATAGTTTAGCTATTGTGATTGTGCTGCTATAAACATTGATGTGTCAGTGTCCCTGTAGTGTGCTGTTTTAAGTACTTTGGGTATAGACTGAAGCGAAGGATAGCTGGGTCAAATGGTGGTTCCATTCCCAGTTTTCCAAGGAATTTCCATACTTCTTTCCATATTGGCTGCACCAATTTATTGCATCACTTTTAAATAGCTTGCCATTCATGCCGTTTATGTCTCATCTGACAGGGAAGACTCAGCCCTTGGGTCTCACAGTGAAAATATGAGGGCAGCTGTGGAGTAGAATAGAGGAGAAATTTGGTGTTTTGGGCAATAGCTATTGAAAGAGGCACCAGTAAAAATGAGGCCCCTATTATGTGGCTGAATGAATGCAAAATGCCTACCTGTCAACATGGAGGCGTTAAGTCAGCCCGTCTTTGAAACAGCAGAGAGACAGGCAAGAAAACGTAACAGGTGGGGCCCCAAATGTCAGCTTTTTTATTACCAATAAAGACCAATTGGGAAAGGAGGTTGGATGTGCAGCAGTGCTGGGCTTCCCGATGGCGAGTCTCAGGGCTGAGCAGACAGCACTGGGGACCACAGGCCTCATCCCCTGGGACATCTACCTGGACACATGAGCAGTAGAAGAGCTGACCAGGAGGAGCATTCACTCTTAAGAGGGGGTAAGGGAGGGGATGGAACAGGGTAGGAAATCATAGGAGTGGAGATCACCATCACAGATACCTCTTAGGTACCTCAACATAAAATAACAAAAACTAAATTCTTCCTTAACTTCTTCAAATCATTCCTCTTCCCATTTTAATAAATTCTCAGGCCAAAATCTTGTAAATTTTTTTTACACCCTCCATCTCTCACTATAAGACCCCATATCCTAGCCATCAGTAAGGCCCGTAATTTCTACCTTGAAAAATGTACCTCTCTTTTGCCTACTTTTCTTCATTGTGATGGTCACTGCTTAAGTCCATGAAACCTGGGCAACTCTAACTGCCTAATGGGTCATTTAGAGACAGTATCCACTATGAGTAATGGAAGTCTCCACCAAACTGCTTCTTTCTTTTTTCTTTTCTTTCTTTTTTTATTTTGCCATGCTAGGCCAAGGGCCTTGTTTATACTAGACAGGCACTCTACCACTGAACTACAGCTCCCAACTCTCCACCAAACTGTATCTTAAACAATAGAATTGATGTTCTTTCTTCTTTTTTTATTCCCCCTTTTTTGTCACTCAAAGTAAAATTCAGATACAGGTCTTGGTGGTACTGGTTCAGTGGTTCAAGTCTGCATGGGCTCAGGTTTCTATGATGCTATTGGTTTTTCCTAGATTATTATCTAGGATGGCTGCTGGTGCTCCTGCCCTCATGTCTTTGTTTTCCCTTCCTTTTTAACATAAGAAAAAGGAGAAGAAAAAAGAAAGCTGAAGGAGTTGCATCATTAGAGTAAGAAAGCAAAACTTACCCCAAGGTTCCTCATAGCCTTCCACTTACGTCTCATTAGGCAGAATAATTACTCACAGCCACTCCTAACTCCAAGGAAAGTGAGAAATATAAGCTTTAACTAGGTCTACTGCTTTCCAGAAAAAAACTCAGGTCTTTTATTTAGGAAGAAGGGGAGAGTGGCCTATTGGAAAGCCTTTGCGGTGCTACCATACATTACAACTCCCTTTACACCTTTACTCTGCTTCAGTTTGTTTTTCACTCATCATCTGGTAATAAATCAGCCTGTCTTCTCCATGTAGATCCCTCGGGTAGCTTTCCATTGCACTAGAGATACTGCTCACTTTCTAGCCCACAAAACTTTCTGAGCCTTCCTCTTCCGAGTTGGGTGTTTACTGTGTAACATCCACTGGCAGCCTTCCTCCTGAGCCCCTCAGAGCTACCTTCCGCCTCCAAGACTTCACATATGCTGTGTGTGAAGGGCTCTTCCCTCCACTCTTTGCATGCTAGAGTCTTTCTTACCCTGTAGGTCTCAGCTGAAGGGCTGCCCCCTTTAGAGAGCTCTTTCTGGTCCACCTTCTTCTAGTCAATGCACCATTACCGCACCTTATCACCAGGTCCATGTAGCCCTTATCCAAGGAGATGATGATTTCATGCCTTGTCTGCTTTTAATCATTGTGCCAGGAAGAGAAAAGACAAGTCTTAGTCATTGAGTGTGTGTGTGTGTGTGTGTGTGTGTGTGCACACACTAGTGCCTAGAACATAGAAATATGCAGCAAGTCCTTGGTGGATGATGCAGTGAATAATGAATGGGCGATGAGTAAATGTGAAGACAGACAAGAAGGAAGCCTGAAAAGTGAACTCAAACTTCCTGGTGACCTTGATGGGCAGTTTGGAGTTGGTATTAGCATTATCCACATGTAAAAGGATTTGGGATTGCATGTGTAATTAATCAAATCAAAGACAGAGCTCAGTAGTTGTGCTGTTCTTAGAAATCATTGCAATTTACCAGACCACTGGTAACAGACTAGGGGATCTGAGGACAGTTGTGGTAGAAAACCAGAGACATTCAAGCTGGAGTGTCCCCACTTGTGGCCTTCCTCCAGTCTTTAATTTCACCCATTACTATTCACAAATCCCTCTTGGCCCTGTAATTAGATCCTGGAAAATACTTCAATAGTCAACAGATACCAAGGAAGATTGTGGAAACCACAGCTGATCTTGACCTTCAACAGCAGCTGACCTAGGGGTGCATCCCAGCTGTGAAGTGTCCCAGGGACCTTCCCTTGCATCTTTGATAGCCCAGCTTTTTAAGGATGACTTGAAAAGATACCTTAAATGTAGTCTGAGTTGCAATGAAGTAGAACAGGAAGAAAAAAAAAACAAAAGATGACTACTTTCTGGATGTGAAGGGAACCAAATCTTTTTTTTAAAAGTTGAGGATGGACACAATACCTTTATTTATTTATCCTTATAAATAAGTGGTGCTGAGGATCAAACTCAATGCTTCACCAGTGCTAGGCTAGAGCTCTACCACTGAGCCACAACCCCACCACCACCACCCCCCAACCAAATCTTTACCATGAAAATACCAGCAGTAGCCTGACTAACATGATAGGTACACACGTATTTCATCACCCTGTGAATTTT